GAGAGCTAACTTTTTGGATCCAGAAGAAAGGGAAGTTCAGTTTGAGCTAGGATTCCAGAGCTAGAAAGGCCAGTCCTTCTGATTTATGGTATCCTACCTGGCCTCCCCAGTGTTGCTCAGGATAACAGTGAATCATCAGTGGGTAGATTGAGCCCTGCCGTTGGGAGGACATGGAGTTACCCATGTGAGAAATATCTCCATTGCAACTCAGTGTCTGCTGTGAGGCACCTGCTGGCAATACAGGAACCAGTGGTGCGGTGCCAGCTGCTCCCAGCTTCATCTTCTGGAGATGATCGCTTTCTGTCTCTTTGAATTTCCCCCTCTGACTCAGCATGTTCCCAAGCAAAGTTTGGCATGTCACATAGACTATATTCTGTGTTATAATACTAAATGGACTTTTTTTTTTCTTTTAATTTGGAGTCAAGGAGTGGAGAAATGGGTGGGTGGATGTCCCAGTAAAGTATAGCTAAACATTTTTGTGTTTTCTAGTAGGTTTGGAATCATTCTCTCCTGGAGGTGCTCAGATGTTAGAGGTGATTCTTTTCTATCTGGAGTCATTTAGTTGTGGTTCTACTTGAAGCAAGTCTTCTTCCCAAACCTAGATTCTTGGTTCAAGGGTGTAAAGGAATGGGATGTGGCTTTGCGAGAAAGCCATCCACTAAGCCAGAGTTAGGCTGGGACTTTTCTTTGGTACAGTGTTTCTGCAGTTGATAGGTTTTTTTTTTTTAAATTACCACCCAAGGCCATGTCATGTGTAGTGTTAAATGGTGATATTTCAACCTGTTGGGCAACAGCTAAACTGTATGCTGTGACCAGAGCTATTTGTTTGTCCAGCTACTCCCAGCTTTCACTTTGTGGCCTGTGTTTTGTTTATGAGTGTCTTCTTCTCTACTGGTTCTGGCTTCAGTGACTAGGGGTGGGTGTTGTGGGGATGTTGGGGAGAGGTCAGACAGAAGATCGTGGAATTCATTTCATTGCCTGATTGCGTTTGGCATTCCTGTGTCTTTTGGTTCCATCTTGGCTAGGCAGCGTTTCCCACTAAATTGTTAGAATGACTTTCCCAGCCGTCTGGGGGTAGGAAAGAAAACCACACCTTGCCCTGTGCCACCAGTTAACAGGCAGAGTTTTGTTCAGTAAATATTTATAGAACCTCCCTACTAACCTTCAACCCTACAGCCTTGTAAACTTGCTGGCTCCTCTCTGGCCTTCCCGGTAACTGAACCTGGTGGCCTGGTGGCCCAGCTCAGAGAAGTGATGGTATCTCTCATCACAGACCGGGCACGGTAGAAACACATCCTTCCTACTCTTAACTCTGAAGTTGGTGGGCTGTGCCTTTTTCTAAAGATTTATTTATTTATTCATACAGAACTGGGGTACAGGCCAGAGATGTGGAGGGTGAGAGGATTCACCAGGAACAGAGTGGGGAGCAGAACAGGCAGATGAACGAAGTACACTGCTGAGGGGAGCAGCGGGCGGGTCCGGAGAGGTCTGCCGGCCGTGTGGAGCTCCTCCGGGGCAGGCGGGGATCGAACTCATGTGGAAATTGCTTAAGCTTCTTTGTGCTGTGCTTTAACCCGCTGCGCCACCAGGGAGGGCCGGCTGTGCCCTTTTTTATGCCGAGAGAGTTCATGGGAAAGAGTTAGGAGAGGATTATCTTTCACTATTTCCCCCTTTAATTTGTCAAGTTAAACCCTGTGATCAGAGGAAGTACAGAACAGCTAGAGCGTATGGAAAGGAATGAAACCTCCAAGCCGGATGAGCTGTAGCCTCTGTGGCCTTTGGCACAGCAGCCCCAGGCCGGCAGCCTCCCTGCTGGTCCTTTCCCCTGAAGGAGAGAGAAGTGCCCCTCTGGTCATTTTGGAGATAAATCAGAAGCAACCTAAATCAACAGTAGGGAGCAGGTTAATAAAATAGGGTTTATCTTTGTTAAGAAATACTGTGTTCTCTTTAATGCTGTTCAAAAATATGTTGAAGAAAAAGAGACAAAATATCTTGGAACGAATAATTCCAATTTTGTTAAAAACAAGTCTTCTCAAAATCATCAGGCAGTTATAGATGAGAGACATTCGGTAGGGGAGGAGGAGGGAGAAGGATCAGGACCGGGGTGGGATGAGCACAGGGGACTACAGTGATGGTGCACAGGTGAACTGGGGGTGGGAATTTCATGGGGAAAATGTACATTGTACCAAAATGAAGGATGATATGATGAATATGTTTTAAAAATATGTTGCAAAAAAAGTCTGAGACTGCTGTGTCATATAGAGATTTACTCGAAAATGTATTAGTTATACCCTTGTTCTTATTTCCTTTGATACAGGTGACCTTAATCTTTTTGATTCTTAAAATGAACGTTTATCACTGCATATCCTTTTTTGTAACACAAAAGCACATAGCACACATACACACACAAACACATATGTATGTATGTATATGAAGTTTAATGAATGATCATCATCCATGTAACCATCCAGGGCAAGAACATTAAAAGCAAGATAACTTTTATGTTGGAATACTGGCAATAAAAATTTTACTAAAAACTATTTTTCCTGGGGCCCTCTCTGGTGGTGCAGTGGGTTAAAGTGCAGTACTATGAAGCTCTCCTCAGCAACTGCAGCACAAGTTCAATCCTGGGCAGGGAAGGTGATCCAGATGGTGAGACAGACCTCTTCTAACCCACTTGCTGCTCCCCTCAGCAGTGTATCTGCCTCTTCTTCTTCCTACTCTGTCTCTCTGGTGGATCCTCTCACCCCTCACACCACTGGCCGGTACCCCAATTCTGTATACATAAATGAATAAATCTTTTTTTAAAAAAGCTTCTTTTCCCAAGTCCCTCACATAAGACTATGTATGAAACGGCTTGTGCTTATTAAATCTCAAAGCATCTATTGAACATAAGGTGGAATACCTCTGTCATCTAAGTGCCATATATAACAGGTGCACATAAGCATTAAGTCATTGCCAAAGTCTAAGGCTGCTTGTGTCATACCGAGATTTGTACTGAAAACGTGTCATTTATACCTGTTGTTGTGTCTGTATGTTCTTCCCTCACAGGGCAGGCTTGACATGCAGTCTTGGATGCTTGGGCCCTGGGAAAAGCATTGTTGCCTTACTTTTGAGGGAAAGCCTCTTCCCCTTTTTCTTCCAGTTTGGGCTCAATATCTTTAGTTTTCTTTGATTCTCAGGGTTGTTACACTTCATGAAAGAAGAGTGTATGTGTAGTTGATTTCACTAAAGTTAGAATTACAAGCAGTATTTTAAAAATTATTGAATTATCTGCTTTTACCTCTTGATTTGAAGTTTGATTGGGAGAAGGCAATACATGTCATAATTTAATCATTTTGTCTGTTACTGTTGAAAAGGCCACTACATCATTTGTGAGGCCAAAAGCAGAATGAAAACGTGAGTCCCTTGTTCAAAAACGGGAAAGTAGTTGTTGAAGGTACTAGAAATGAAAGCTTTTTCCTTTCTTCCTTGCCTGGTCTCTATCTTAATTTGCTGTGGTTTATTTTATTTGCTATTAATGTCAGCCTAAGTAAAGAAAAATTAAAAATTTTAATTATTATGAATTTTACTATTCCCTTTTATATTGTTCCGTGTATATTATATGATACCAATTTAAAATGCAAATATAAGATCATTTAGTTGCTATTGCAGTAGCACCAAAATGACACAATTTGTATTTTAAAATTTATACATTGCTCTTCCAAAAACAGTGGAAATGCTATACCCAACTCAGTTGTTTTTATTTCACTTATTATTTGCACATTCTACTAGCAGTCTGTGAAGCAGAAAGTACTCTGCTTCCTGCTCTTAACCATTTATGGAAAAGAAGCCCTATCAATTATGCCATTAATTTATGTGGAAAAGTTTTGGAACATTGTGTTTTCAGGTAGCAGGGGAAACCTAGATAGGATTCCTTGTGCTTTGAACTGGTTTCCTGCAATGCCATTGCCACCTTCTTTTTTTAAAAGATTCATTTATTTATGCATACAGAACTAAGGTACAGGCCAGAGGTGCAAGGGCAGTGAGAGGCTTCACCAGCGACAGAGTGGGGAGCAGAACAGGTAGATCACAAAGTACACTGCTGAGAGGAGCGTGGATGAGGCAGGAGTCTGCTGTGCCATGTGGCTCACCTCCCTGGCCGGGGATCGAACTCATGCTGAAGCAGCTGTGGCTTGTTTCACAGTGCTGTGTTTTAACCCATTGTACCATGAGGGAGGGCCCACCATTGCCTTCTTTCTAAATTCAGAGCAAGTTATTTCCAGTGGAAAGCATGACTTCTTGGTACTTAACCTCTGCCTGTTTAGTTGCAGACATTATATGCTGACCTTGTACTTGCTCTGAGCTTGCTAACCTTCCACACATGGTGGGTCCACTGGGATTCTGTGCTCAGAGGGCATCAGGTATGCATGAAGCAAGTCGGGCAACAAGACATGACAACCGGCATGTCATATCATGTTTGTTATAGAAACATTAGTTACAAAACTCAGGTTCAAAGACAAAATTATTAAGAATTCTTACATGGCGATATGAGAGCATTAAACCAAGTGTTGGGTCCTTCTGAGTGTAGGACCTTTTGTGCCTACAGATCACACGCCCATAAAGCTAGTCCTAACTATTGCTATTTTTTTTAATCCTAAGGAATGGCTGTTGTTGTCACCCTTCCCAAGACATTATACTCTGGGTTATAAGTCCTCCTTATCTGTAATCCTTTGGGGGTTCAGAATTTTGTTCACGGTGAATTCCAGTTTGTTTTTTTTACAATGGCAATGAAACAGAATTTATTCATGTTACGAGATGCCAGATATTATTGATACCAACTCATTATTTCATTATGTGCTTGTCAGCCAAACAGATTAGCCCGTTCCTGAATGGGAAAGAAATTAAGCTGAGTCTAAAAGATCAGGCTCTGCAGTTAGAGAAGTTTTATAAAAGTTAAAATCTGTAACCAGTAGTTTCATCTGTAACCAGTAGTTTCACAATTATACTTCTGCCCACAGGAAGGTGTTCTCCCTATGTTAACTATCGGGTTGATAAAAATCATCATTGGGCAGGTAAGATGCTTGTGGACCAATAACTTTCCAAGAGGTTGTTAGAATATTTTGCCCCTGTGCTTTTGATAGAACAGTTCCTCAGAAACATCCCCAAATTCTTCCCTTTTACAGTTAATCTTGACAGTCACTTGTGTAGGTGGAGGTCACAGAGCTTGGTGGTCCAGGGTCTCGGTGGTCCAGGGTGTAAGTGCTAATTGGGCACACCTGAATTCATGCCCAGGTTCTACCTCTTACTGCGAGGGCAAGTTTCTTCCGGCAAGTTACCTATGACCGAGCTTGGTTTCCTCACCTGTGAAGAGGCAATAGTAAGAGAGTCCAGCTGAAAGGATTATGTTTGATAATATACAGGAATGGATTTTTGAGCCAGCATGGATTTCAATATTAACTATTATGCTTATTAGTATAAAGCTGAGATTTCTAATATTTATTAATATAAAAAAGTCTAAAAGACTATTGCTGACTATGTTTTTGAGATAGGGAAATGAATAAATCTGCTATGACTAAATGTACCAGTTAACATAATACAGTCTTGTGTGTTGGAGACCCTGCAGAGAGAGACTGTGTGTTTTGAGAACAGAGATTTTTGTATCATTCATTTCACCATCCTCAGTCCAGCACAATCTCAAGCACATAGTGGGGCTTGTTGATTAAATGATGAACAAATGAATAGATAGTTTATTTTTTACCTTGTGTAGCATTGGTAGTGATGAAAGGCTCTCTTTCTGCCCCACCAAATAAGCATTCCTGTCTCCTTTATTTACCTTGTTTCTTTTTTACCTTCCGAGGAAAAGAGCACCCTTAGGAAGATACCAGTCTGAATGGTTGACCACCAGGTGATGGCGAACACAAGCTGGCGTCAACTGGTTGCATGGATAACTGTGCTGCCCCTTGCCCACGCCCCTCCACTCCCTTGTAACTGGATAAGTACCCCTTCCTGCTGCCAAAGGGCAGGTGTTCTCCTCCATTTGTCCACAAATTAAACTGCTTTCCTTCTTCTCAAACTCTGTTTCCTTTTATTGGCTGAGGGAAACTGAGACAGGCTTTCAATAACAGTATTTTTAATTCTGAATTTAGAGACAAGAGATATATTTTTCAAGCTGTTACGGGCAACCCCAGTGCGAACTAGGTTGCCCGACTGGGACCTCACCTGTGCACTCAAGGGGACTTATAATAGGATTTAGCTGCAGGCACACACAAGACAGTTAATAATGGGTTTATTACAGGAGAAAGGGAAATGAATAACTCATGGAAAAAGAGAGTTGGTTAATGCATCCTACCAGTTCTGCTGACCTGGAACCCCAATAGCACATTGAGAGCTGGCAAAAAGTCGAGAGACAAGCCACGAGCCAAAAAGCCAAGAGACCCCCAAAACCCACATGTCTGGTTTTATAACTAACATGGCTGCTTAACTCTACCCTCAGGTCCCAGCAATACCCCCTTTGGTGATGATGGGATTTGTAGTTCTGGTGTCTGGGGTGGGAGTGGAGTTCATAAAACTTCTATCTGTGGGGGTCGTTGAAGACATCCTTTCCCCCCAACAAAGCCAGTGAAAGTGGTGTGGTGTAAGTGGTTTTGTGTATGTGAGGGTCTTCTTTATTTTTGGCAACTGGAGAGGAAAAAATAGAGAAAAACAAACAAACAAAAAAACAGACAAAATCTGATGGTATCTTTATTCTGAATAATTTTTCTTATCTGAGCACAGGTTTGACCTGTGAATCCTACCTAGGCTTAGTTTTGATTGGAGCCTCAGCTGGGATCTGGGCTGCCTCAAGGGAAGGGACAGAAAATGAAGCCCCATGTGACTTCTTACCTAGGCTTCTGGGTCATAGCCTTGCCTAGAGTTCTCTCAGCAGAGATGCTGTCCCAGTCATGGACACAGCATCAGGGCTGATAAATGCCTGCTCCTGGCCAGGCTCAGCTGCATTTGGCAGGTGGTGGTGATTCCAAGGGAACCAGAGAAACCACCATGCCATTTCACTCTGTATCTTTTTGATAATAAGGTGAATAGGGAGATATTTCAGCCACAGGGCACAATTTACAGGACTTAAATTTAAAATAAAATAACTGACAAAGTAATTCGGAAGTCACTTTTTTAATAATTTGTAAAATACCAGGGGACTGACTATATATGATTTCCTGCCAATTCTATTTAAATCCTCTCCAATTTAAAAACCAGAGGATTATGACCAAGAGAGGTGTTTTTGGCTTTGAAAATTCTGGGATAATTTAGAGCCTTTTAACCTGGTACATTTGTAGTTGATAGCAGCTCCCCTCCCTCCGGCCCTCTTTCTTAAAGTGTGCTGCTGAAATCCATATTCCACAAGAATTTTCAAAACAGTGTTAAATCCCAGACATGGGTCTTTATATATGCCACTAATGACCTGTGAAAACATGTAGAAGGACAGCTTTTACTACTATTTTATTATTTGAAAATGATACACCACTAATAAATGCTTCACTATTTTTAAACTAGGTTTTGTGTAGATACAACCGTTTTATTTTTGTAGGAGTGAAAAATTATTCATCTCATTTAGATATCCTCTCACCTTACTTGAGAAGCTATTTACAGATCCTTAGGGATTAAAGATTACTTAAAAGCTTGATAATCTAATTTTAACAGTTTGTATGAGCAAAATGGCTTCCTACCCATTTTTCTTTCTTTTTAAAACAAGGTCCTCTGTGAAGAAAACAGGAATAATCTTGCACTTTCAGAAAGACTTGATGATTGTTTTTTTTTCCCATGGACAGAACACAACTACAAATGATAGAGAGATGAATACAATAAAACTACCCAGGAGGTTTAACTCCAACTGCTGAAACTTTACATAATAAGACATTTTCTGGGGGAGGATGATAGTGAATGCAGAGACCTTTCCTCTGCTGAGACCCTCCTCCTTCCCGGTGACCTGCTCATCCCTTAAAACCAGCTTCGATGTCTCCAAGCCTCCAATGCTCTGGCTGCTCCTACATTTCCCTTTTGCTTTTGCATTTTCCATGTACTTCCCAAAGAAGCTCGTCCCACAGTAGAGTTACTAGTGTTTCTCTTTTGCACTGAATTATGTTCCCTTTGAGAGCAGAGTCTGGTCTGTTTCCTCCTTGAGCTCTGGTATGAGCTCTAGCTCTAGTTGCCTGAAAAGTGATAGGCCCTTGATTCTCTCAGGTAACAAGGCAACATCAAAATAGATTTCATCAGATAAGAAATAGTTTGGGTGGGTAGAAGTTCATTCATTCTAGATTTTCTCTTGTTTTTATTTATGATTGCTACAAGCAATCCATTACATATGGAAGGGAGTACTAAGAATACCCAGTGTTTGGATACTCATACATTGGTGATAAAGATATACAGTGACATGCCCTTTCTAGAAAACTATTTGGAAATTGAAAGCTTAATTATGGACAATACGTTGACCTAGTAATTCTATTTCTTATAATCCATTTTAAAGAAATACTAAGAAATCATCCCAATATAACATAAAGCATAATCAAAGTTCCAGCAGCAACAGCTTCCTGATTTGTGGGATCTAAACCAAGTATTGAGTTGCTAAGAACTTGAAATGATAGTGATAAATTCTTGAAATTCATGTTTTATGTTCTCCAATACCACCCAGTGTATTGTCTTACACAGATTAGAGGTCCAGTAAATACTTTTAATGAGCAAATAAATACTTCCTTAAATTGAAATAAAAGCAACTTAACTTGAAATAAAATTAAGTAGATTGATTTCCAGTGTTTTTGTTTATGCTTTTAAAATTGTGCCAGTGATATACAGACTTAGTGTTCCTGTGTATAGTACTTTGTAAACTGCAAAATCATTTTTTTTTGTTAATGTCCTCTTGATCATATCAGAAGAGGTATCACTCCCATTTTATAGAAGGGACAACTGAGATTTGGAGCAGAGCCAGGACTAGAACTACCAGTACTTACTTCTAGTCGTGTTCTTTTTACAATAGGAGTCTTTGGAGAACTCTTAGGAAACAATGAGTACCTAGAATGTTTATTAAGGGAGGGTATGCATCAGTTCCAGAAAGATGTTGACAGACTGGAAGGAATTTAAAGAGGAGCCAACTGCTGGAAGGAAGGACATAGGAGAGATGAAAGGAGCTAAATATGTATAGCTTGGCCAGAGGATGATTAAAAGGGATATGATAACAGTCTCTAAGAATGTGAACGATGTAAACAACATGGAAAGAGAAAATGTATTTAGAACTGATCAAAGCAGTATATAAAAAGAAGTAAAAGTTAATGCTAAACATCAAGTAAAGCTGTTTTCATAGGGAGACTTGTTAGCTTGTAAATTGGAATCCCATGAGAAGTATCAAAAGCCCTATATAGGAGCATTTATGATGGATCATAGGGAGGACTTTTCCAGTTCTAATTTTGATGACTGACATCAAGTCCCTTGCTAGAGTGGATTCAATGCCCAGTTTTTTCTATCAGAGTCAAAGGAAGAGTCTCATTACAATCTTGTAGAAGCCAAACTCAGGCATGGCCCAGTGTCATGCAGTCCAGTGAAGCAGACAGCTGTGAAAACTAGCATGAAACCTAGGAGTTTAGCTGAGTAACTCATCGGAAGATGACTCATCCCTCCTTCTCTGGTGCCTCCTGTTGGGCATCGCAGGCAGCCACATTGGGTCAGCAGATGGAACATTCCTGAGGGAGCCTAGGAGGAAAGGCATCCTTTGTCCTTTGACTATGACGAGACATTGTCATTGCATGGGAGAGAATGATCTTGCATGTAATGTGCATGTGAAATCATGTCCCCAGGAGGGGCTCCAGAGCTTGAGGGAACATTAGATTAATTTGAGGATAAAGCTGTAGAAGGTGTTCACCTTTTATTGGTATGTGGCCATGGAGTTATCTCTGCCACGCAGGAGTCAAGCAGGAGATGTCTAAACTAAACAAGAGTTTAGACAGCAGTCTGGAAGGGAGAAAGTGAGGCTGGGAGGGAGTAGAGGCCCTTAGGGGCTGGAAGGCACTCAGACCTGCTCCCGTGACCTCTAGTGAGTTGATGCCCTGTGCCAAACGTGCCAAACGTGACTTCAATCAGGTGCGGGAGCAGCTAGCATGAATGACTGGTGGATTTGATCTGGTAAACTGACCATGACTGGAAAAGGTCCTGGGGTCTCTTGTGGGGTCCATGACACCACCACTCAGAAAAAGTCTCAGAGGTAGGGAGATTTTTACTTGCTGGAATCACCCAGCTTTCTGCCAAGTCAGGGCTGAGCTTGACTTGAGTTTGAAAAGTCACTCTGTAGTTTGTAAATGAATCTTTTTTTCCCTTAAAATAACGGATTTTTAGAGATATTTAGGAACTAAGATTTGGGCTGAAAGGAGAGATACTGATTAGTGACAGAGCTACAACACCTGGGTCTTCAGGCTGTTTCTTTTTCTTTTTTTTTTCCCCCTAAACCAAGGACTTGGCTTCCAATTAACCATAATATGACAGTCAGTGTCATAAAAGCAAAGATTGAGACTGTATATATTCCTTAGCAACTTATATAGCAAGTGTACATATTGTCATGAAGTGCAGTTCTACTGTGACATAAAGCATTAAAAATGCTTTCCTTTCATACTCACTATAATTAATACTTTTGTCTGTCCCTCAGAATAGGAACTGCCTTTTGTAGCTTGAGAGCTTTACTATGTGCTCTTTTGGGTAATGACTGTATCTTCACTCCTAGACTCTGAGGTAGGTACCTGCCCTTCCATTCTGCAGAGGGGAGACTGAGTTACACTGGAGTTGAGCAAGTGACCAGGCCCCATGGTAAGTGGCAAACCTAAATATGAACTCATGCAGTCTGACTGCCAAGTCCAAATCCTTCATTGCTTTGCTCTACCGTCTCTTGAAAAGGAAGACCTTTGGAGTTACATTTTACCCTTATGATCTCGTAAGATATCTCTAAAGAAGTTTGTGTTTATACTTAATTTCCCTGTAATAAGTGACATTTAAGAATGTCCATGTTGGGCCC